TTTCTCTCCATTGTGAGTGATGTTGGCAGTTGATTTTGTATATATACCCTGAATTAAGTTGAGAAGTTATCCTTCTATTAGCATTTTGTTGAGTGTTTTTTCACTTCCACTGTTTAAGGGATAATAAATTACCAACAACATATTATATGCTCACCATGATCTCTGATTGAAATTCCTAATACTGGTTGTAAGAAAGCACAATTCTACAACAAATATATAATAGATATTATTTTTATTTCTTACCTTCATCATCACCACTTTGATCCTGATGAGGTATAGATTCTAATATAGGAACTTCTCTTGCTTTTGTAAGAGTCCAGGAAATTAGTCCTTCAGATACATCTGATATCCAGTCACACATGCCAAATTCAAATCCACAAGCCTGACACACTAACGGTGGGGACAGAAAGGTCTTTTTAAAATCTTGGTGAACTACCATAGTCTAATAGAGTAGTTACTTACCAGAGTTTATGCTGGAATCAACAAAGAAGTGCAAACACACTGAGGCATATCTAGAAAAACGATTCCAATAAGCTTGAAAATGTACTAACCACACTACCTTTCAAATGTCCTCAACGGGTCCGCGTGCACAGTCCCCAAATGAAATCTAAACTGACATAAGATAGAGGGCTCACACTCTTTCTTGTAGCGCTGTCTCTATTTCAAAAATTTAAATGGCATAATACCAGACTTTACTTACTATACAGAATTATACTCAGGTTGTGTTACATACTCACCCATTGTTGTTAAGTGCTACTGAGTTGGTTCTGACTCATAGAGACTCGGTAGAGCATTTTCAAGGAGTGAGTAGTGGGTTTGAACCCACTATTCTTGCAGTTAGCAGTCTAATGCATCTCCTACAGCACGCACTAAGACTCCATACTTCCTCATTATTACACTGAAAATTATTTGACTTTTTATCATAATTTTGGTAAAAGTTTATAGAGCAAATTGGGTATTCATTCAACAGTTCAGACACACTTTGTTTTGTAACGTTGATTGTAATCCCCACAGTACAACAGAACTTATCCTAGTCTTTCCCTGGGGTTTCTATTTACACTCATCTTCCCTTCCTACCCCTTCCTGTCTTCTGAGCTTTATCCCTAGGCAAATGCTGCCCTCTTGATCTCAGATGGCTGGTTATTTTAAGGGTGCATATCTCCCTGGTGTTACTGTTCACCTATCGGCCTATCTGGAATTCTGTTGTGGCACTGTGGGTTAATGCACTGTACTACAAAGTCAGTTTGCACCGCAAGATTGGTGGTTCAAACTCACTAGTCATTCTTCGGAAACCCTGTACAGGGTCACTATGGTTTGGAACTGACTCAACAACACTTAAGAATAACAACAATAGGACTGTCGATATTTGGCTGAAAGTTAAGGCACAAGGTGAGTTCAGTTCCAGGCATATAGGGTGACTCAGGGACTTATTCTTGGGGGTTTCCCGAGTCAGACCAGTAAGCCTGGTCATTTTTAAGGATTTTACTTTTGTTCTACATTTTTCTCCCACTCTCTGTGGGAACTTCTATTGTGATTCCTTTCAGAACAGTCAGCAAGGGTAGCTAGGCACCATCTAATTTTTCTGGTCTCAGGATCAAAGGTGCTGAAATTTTCATGATTCATTAGTCCTTTGGACTAATTTTTCCACATGTCTTGGACTTTCTTCACTTTCTTTTACTACAGACAGGAAGAGACCTGCACCTTATATCACTCCTTAAAAAAATTTAAGCCAAAGTTGCTACTCACCAAAGTAGGACATAGAACGTTGTCTTTGTGGACTATGATAGACCAATTGACGGATGTCCCCTCAGGACTATGGCCCTGAGCCCCAGGATCAGTGATTCATTCCTACAAGCTATGTGATTATGACTAAGACATTTTCATAACTTTGCCCTTGTCTGTCCTACTATATGACGGATATATTTGCAGTCTGTGTAAATATGTATGACATTGAAATTTTCATGGGGAAACATTTTATATAATTTCAAGATGGCCTTTAATGCAGTTATTTAAAAAAACAACAACACATGACTTTCAAATTGACTTATTTAGGATTATGAACATTTTAATAAAATCTAGATATAAATAATACTCCAATTAAATATAGGCCATTAATGTCAACAAAGATTATTTTGAGAACTGTGATTAGTAGTCCCTGAGTCTCATAAATTGATTACACACAAACAAGACAGGCATATCAATTTAACACTTACACCTTAATCTTTGATCTGTAGAGTTAAATTGGCAAAGATTTGCATTTGGTGGGTATAACTCCTGATTGGTATTTGATGCTTTTTGACATGGTAAATTTTCATCTGTTAAATATAAAGATTGGCAAGAAGTGAGATGCAGACACAAATAGAAAGATTCTTGTATTTCTTAAAATGATACCATTTGTTATACAAAGCACTTTTCTCTCACTTCCTTTCTATGGGGATACATTCTTCACATAAAACTATTAAACAGTAATATAGTTGGGAGCTCCTTCTCAGAAACCTCATACAATGTCACTATGAGTTGGAACAAACTCGACAGCACTTAACAGCAACATAGTTGGAAGGTGGAGGAGACAAAAGCAGAGATAAAGGGAGAGTAATTGAGAAAGAGACATACACACACACTAACCCATCCCCATACATTTTAATCAGATCTGTTTTAACTGTTAAGCCTGAATACCAAATCTTCCATCTCTCCACTGAAGTAAATAATGCACTCTAATATATAATCAGTCATAAGGTTTTTAACGGTGAATCCCTCAGAAATTGGCGATCTTCTTCTAGTCGTTCTTAGTCTGGAAGCTCTGCTGAAACTTGTCCACCAAGGGTGACTCTGATGGTATTTGAAATACAGTGGCATTAACTTCCACATCATAGCAACACACAAGCCATCACATTAAGACAAACTGATAGTGTGATGATCATAACAAACTACATTGTGAAGAATGGGAATGCCATAACACTATAACATGAACATGTTCATGTTATAGTGTTACAGTTCATGTTACAGTGTTCATGTGGAACCTATACATAGACCAAGAGGTATGTATGGTTGAAAATCAGGAAAGATGTGCACCAGAGTTGCAACCTTTCTCCATATTTATTCAGTCTGTATGTTGAGAAAACACTCCTGAAAGGTGGATTATACAAGGAAGAATGTGATGTAAGGATTGGGAGAGGATTCATTGACAATCCGCCATATGTAGACGACAAAACCCTGCTTGCTGGAAGCAAAGAGGGCTTAAAGTTCTTAATAATGAAGACTGAATACTTTAACCTTCAGCATGGATTACAATTCAATGTAAAGAAAAACAAAATCTTCATTACTGGGGTAGTAAACCACATCATGGTAGAGGAAAAAATGATTGAAGTTATTAAGCACTTCATTTTACTTGTATCCACAATGAGTACTCATGAAAGGAGCAGTCAGGAAATCAAAAGATCTATTGCATTGAGCAAATTGGCTGCACAAGATCTATTTAAAGCTTTAAAAAAACAAAACAGATGTCACTTTGAAGACTAAGGTGTGCTTGAACCAAGCCACGGTATTTTTAATCACATCATATGGTTGTGAAAGCTGAACAGTGAATAAGGAAAACCAGAGAATTGATGCATTTGAATGATCGTCCTGGCAAAGAATATTAAAAGTACTATGGACTGTCAGAAGAACCAACAAATCTTTGTTAGAAAGATACAGTCAGAATGCTCATTACAAATGAGGCTAGCAGGACTTCATCTCACGCACTTTAGACGTTCTCAAGAGTGACCAGTCCCTAGAGAAAGATCATGCTTGGTAAAGTGGAGGTCCAAGGAAAAAGAGGAAGATCCTTAATAAGAAGGTATGACACAGCGGTAGCAACAATAGGCTCAAACATAACAATTGTGAGGATGGTGCAGGACAGAGCAGGGTTTCATTGTGTTGTACACAGGTAGACTGTGAGTGGGAATTGACTCACTGAATGGCCCCAAACAATAACAGAAATAACGACAATGTAGAACTAAAAGTCTATACTTGGAAGGATGATTGTGAAAGTTGTCAAATAAGATATATGTTAACAAATGATGTCCTTTTACATTGGGATTCGGATCACTCCTGGAACTACTTTCCCTATAGTCTTCTCAAGTGGTGCCTGTTTTCTATGCCACCTTCCTCCAAAAACAGGACTTGACGGTGTCCTTCTTGCCTCTAATGACACTTTAAGATATTCTTCCAACCCATCTTCCTAAATATACAAGATTTTCAAATCTTGTCAGCAGACATTACCCATTTTCCAGTTATTTGCCTGTACACTGTCCCTGAATCTTTGAATTTAAAAAAAAAATTTTAATATTCTCTTTCTTCTTGTCTCTCAGTTTCTTGATACCTTCCTTTTGATGTTATTGAAGGTGAACATGGAAGAAATATCTCTATTACCACTCCTGAGTATTAACTGATAATGATAATTGTTATTTAATCTTAATTTCAAGTGACCTACTTGAAGCCAGTATCTCTTGTCTCTCTGGCATACTCGCTGTAGCATCCCAATTCTAACATTTTTTTTTCACTATACCAAAAGGAGCTCTGGTAGCGTAGTGGTTATGAATAGGGCTGCTAACCTCAAGGTCAGCAGTTCGAAACTACCAGCTGCTCCGCAGGAAAAAGATGAGGTTTTCTGCTCCCGTAAAGATTTACAGCCTAGGAATCCTGTACAGGGTCGCTATGGGTCGGAACCGACTCGACGGCACTTAACAACAATACCAAACCCTACACTCCAATGGTCCTACAATCTTTTTCAATTCCTTTCAATCACATCATGTCCTCATCTCCTTTCATATAAAGGTTACTCAACAGGGTCAATCATAACAGCACTTCTCGTGCTTCCCACGTTCTCAAGGCAAGAACACTTGGGTCAACGCAAACTAAACTTCTGGTCTCTTGCTGTTCACATTTTTTCATCTCACTTTTCTTCCCCCATATTAGTTAATAACAACTCCATTCTTCCAGTTTTTCAAGAAGAACACTTAGAAGCACTCATGACTCATTTATTTCTCTAGTTCCCAATATGTGATTCATGAGTAAATTCTGCTTTATCTATAAAATACATCCAGAATCCAACTGCTTAACACCTCCACTATGACTATTCCTCTGTTTTAACAGACAAATCACCTCTTTCTGAATTACAATAATGATTTACTTTGTCTCCTACTACTGCCCTTGTGTTTAAAGTCGGTACCGACTTGATGGCGCCTAACAACAACAACATTGGATCATTGCTATTACTATTAGGTACTGTTGAGTTAATTCCAACTCATAGTGACCCTAAGAATATTTACAAGAGAATCAAATGCAGTCTGGTCCTGCCACAGCCACGCCCATACAGTCATTGATATGTTTGAGAACATTGTTGTTGCCATTATATCAATTCATTTTATTTAGGATCTTCCATGCTTGATGTTTTTCTACAGGAACTAGTTTAAAGTACATAAACAAAGTCTCACCATCCTCCCTTCTAAGTAACATTCTGACTGCACTTCTTCCAAGACATATTTATCCATTCTGGTGGCAATACATGGTGTATTCAATATTGTTTACCACTGCCATAATTGAAAGGCATCAGCCCATCTTCAGTCTTCCTTATTCACTGTCCAGTTTTGTAAGTATATGAGACAACTGAAAATTACCGTGGTATGGGTCAGGTACACCTTAGTCCTCACAGTGATATCTTTATATATGTGAATCAGCTGTGTCTCCTCTACTCAACACGCTTCAAGGTGTTTCTACCCTACATGAAATAACCCTAAACCAAACCTACTGTCATCCAGTCAATTCCACCTCACAATGACCTTACAGTACAGAGTCCAACTCCCCCATAAGGCTTCCAAAGGTACAAATTTGTGGAAACAGACTGCCACATCTTTCTCCCATGGAGCAGTTGGTGGGTTTAAACCAATGACCTTCAGTTAGCACCTAAGAGCTTTAACCACTGATCCATAGGACTCCTACATGAAATAAAAGAAAAAGTTCTTACCATGATCTTCATTATACAAACAAAGTGTACTTCTACCTCAGGACTTCAGCATTTGTGGTTCCTTCCAACATACACATGACTTGCTCACTAAACTCCCTATTTTTGTTCAGATAATACATTTTCAATGAGAACATATGTTATCACCCTATTTGTTGGGATCTTATAATGATGAATATATATATTCTCTTGAATGGAAGATACACTGAATATAAAACTACATATGAAATTAAGGGAGTGTTTACAATAAATGACACTAACATTGCCCAATAATAATTAGCATGAAACAATAAAAACTGTCATTTTTATAGATTCACATAAGAGCTACTAATCTGCCCCCTAATCAAAATGATCCCACTGCTGATAAGGTGATGATGACTCATAGCACCCTGTAAAACTGAGTGCAACTGCCCGATAGGATTCCCAAGGCTATAACTTTTCACTGAAGAAAACTGCCACATCTTTCTCCAGAGGAAAGGCTAGTGGGCTTGAACTTCCAACCTTTGAATTACAGTTGAGCATTTAACCACCACACTACCAGAGCATAAGTGTTGGCCATCATTCAATTAAATATTGTGTATTAGCTCTAATTTGTCACTATTTACATATGACAAAACCAGAAAAAAATAGCAAAATAGTCTAATGTAAATTGCGTGGCTTGAAAATACAGCTTCTTTCAACTGGTGTTAAGTATCATTTATGATGACAACCACATTTACTATTTTTGATCCCTAAGCTGAAATTTTCAGCCATAAAACCTCAAAGTTAGAATGTCCTAGATAGCGTGGGATAAAATGTGAAAATAAAAAATAATAATACAATTTAAAAACTCAGAATAACTAAAAAAATGACATGACTTATTGATTGGATACAGACAGGTGGAACTCTTGAGACAAAGGCCCTTAGTCCCCTCAGGTCTGAAAATGAACTCACCCCCATGAATCAACTTTCAGTCAAACAAGAGATTAGTCTATAAGGGAGAACACTAACACCGGGGAAGTACACACACCATAGAATAATTAATGGGGTGTGTACCATTTGAGATAAAAAGGGAAACATTTAGCCAAGGACAAAGTTGAGATGCCTTAGAAAAGGAGGAACGGAAATGGGAAACACAGAAGTGGTATAAGTGGTGTTACACTGTGGAGATTACAATCAATGACATGATACAAAATGTATATGAATCGTTGAATGGAAAACTAACCTGCTTTGTACACTTCATCTAATTACAATAAAGTTGAAATCAATTCATGGAAAAATTTCATTATCTTTTCAGTCCATTTTTCCAGTAAATTTTGAAGCCTCCTTACACAG